AAATTTTGAAAAATATTTTAGAAAAATATACATTTTTTATTTATAAATTTATCTATTTGATAGAGCGCCATACATATTTCGATATAATTCCGGTTATATGATAGTAATGTTATAAATATTTTATAGGATATCTTGAGCGCGACGTTCATTATGGTCTGTAGGACATTAAATTTTGAGATATATTATTTATTCGCAATAAAAATGTCTTTGTTTAATCTATAGGTTAAACAAGGAAGCCTATCGTATAAGTCGCGGACTAAGCGCACGATGTAATCGTAGCCATTATTTCTATAGATTTCTATTTTCTCTTGTAGGTTTGCAAGCTATGTGCATATAATACAGAATAAAAGTTAATGTAAAATGAAAATATTTATAATAAAAAATATTTATTTAAATGGAATGAAAGATATTTATTCGTTCCTTAACGAATAAAAAAGAATGAGTATTTGAATGAGTATTTTCTTTTATTTTTTATTCATTTATTTAAATATTAGATGTATTCATCGAACACACTAATTTTTCGTATGCGATACTTTTTGAAAATAAGGGCTCCTGATTGGCTATCACGCGACTACAGCGCCTTTTTTTCATTGTATTTACAGTTCACATGTATAGACTAAAGCGGGGAGCACAGACTCTTGCATAACGCATAAAGCATAAGAAATTCAACCAATAAAATTAGCAATTAGTAAAATAAAATTTTTTCTGTGTCATATCTCAAATTAAATATATATATGTAATGCAGATTACAAACAATTATTATTTTTTTATTATAATGTAATTTTATTCTTAGAGTATTCACGATGAGTCATTCGTATCTTGTTTTTTTTTTTTTTTCGAAATGTTGCACCCTCAATAATTCTTTCTATCCTTTTCTTCCTTTTAAATATACAACTTCATAAATGTTTTTTAAAGATGTTAAAATATTAAGATTTATTAAGAATTTTTGTATATTTGCAAAAATTATGGAAATTAATCCTCACACAAACAACCCATCATGCACAATAAAAGGAAATTGTATATGTATTAAGAGTTAAATGTATAATTTATAGATATCTTATTAAAAGTAATACGAAAAATAAATTTACTTAAGTATAAAAATTATTTAAATAAATGCAGTATGTATTATGTGATATGACAGCATCTATTTATGAAAATAACGCATTATGTTTTTGTATAGGCATATATTTTTTAGCTCTATTCCTCTACTTAAAAATACAATTTTTTTGACATTTTTTTTACATTTCTCGCAAAAATCTGCATATAATATTATATTAGTGTCAAAAAAAAAGTAACGAAAAAGTAACGACTCATTATATTTTGAGTAACGATAACGGTAATGAATTATTTATAAGGTGCCAACCTTGTACACACACACACACACACACGCGCGCGCGCATATATATAAGGAACATTTATATGTAAATATTGTTTTATTAGTTTATTGCCATAAACATTTACGAATATTTCTCATTAATAAATAGACATATGTTTATTAAAGTGTAAATAATATGTTACAATAGCAAATTACAATATATAGTTTCATGAATAATCCTACATGAGAATATATGCAAAATATTTTGGTGACTTAATATTTTCATGCCTGTAATAAACATAAAAACGAAAAATAAAAATTTATAAATATAGTAATTTATGATGATAGTAATATGATAAAATACATCAAAAATTTTTCTATCTCAGAGAGACGATTTCGATGATTTCGACGATTCACGTGCTTCCTGGATTCTTTGCGTGTACCAAGTGGCTGTTGAATAAAACATGTGCCGAACGTTCTGCTACCACGAGCAATAACATTATTTATTGCGCAATAAATTGTCCCGTGAATTTTTACCATAATAATTGAGACATTTCCGATTCTCTTACTAGTAAAACGCTTGGCACGTAAAATTGGTCCTACAACTGCAAAGAGATAAAGCCTCGGAATTGCGTATCCTCGCTTGTAATTACACTCTAGATCCTCAACATTTCTCACCGACATTGTCTGTACATATTTGCGTAACTTTTGCCACTCTTGTCGCCTAACGAACGAGAGCTTTACGCGAGCTTTTTCGCTAGATTGCCACAGAATTTGTAATTGGACGTATCTACATTTATTTCACAATTAACACTTTGAATTATTTTTCTACCGCGAGTATCAAGGAATGTAATGATTTGTTCATGAATGTCAATGTTCAAGAAAATTGAAATCGATATAACCTCAGTGTTACAAATGAATCAAGATATATTTATTTGCAGCTTACGTTATATAGTCTAAAGTCTTATTAGAGTCATCTTATAATATACTATAAAATACGATAATGTCAATTAAGATCAAAGATGTCCAAAAATTGCGTTGTTACAAATCCTTGGCTCACGCTCGTGTCAGGCATGCGAGCGATGTAGTCATCCCATAGATTATTATTCATATCGCATGAAACATGGGCGCTGCGGCGAAATATTTGCGTGAACGGGTCCCGATAAACGGGACATCATCGCAGGGAATCGCGAAGAAACAGCCTCGATTCTGTTGTCAAAAAAACAATTTTATAATGTCACATGAGTCTATTCAAGATACGATAGACCGAAAAATTATGCGATTGTAGGCAATCACTATAAAAACAATTTCCAGTTATTTCTCAATTCGAAAGAAAAGAATATTAAACGAAGATTCTCGTCTGTTCGTCAAAACGATGATAAAATTGGCATGCAAATGATGATTTCAATTAATATTTCGTTAATTTACTTAATTAATAAATAAATGTATCGTCCTTATAAATATTTATTCTATTTAAAAATAATTAACATTGCAGATGACATTATTATTCGCGATTAATGTCTTGTTCGATTATATATAAGTACGTGACAAGATTTTGTAAAATTTAGGAATGACATAAAAATTTTCTGTATTGCTCTAATGCTGTAAATGTAGGTGACTTGGAATAAGTATAGGTGACTTGGGACATCATGATTTTTGTTAAATTCAATCATGTATGGATATCACGATTAAATTTAACAAAAATACATGCTATTCCAAGTCACC